GGCTCCAGGGGGCTTACCAGCAGGTGCTCCACCAAGCACAGGGCCTATCACTCTTGCAATGGGGGCTGTTCCCACGCTCCCATCGCCTACTACGACCTTGCTGCCTCCTCCGACTGCACACCCAGCAACGAGTGTCAATGCAGCGGAGGGAGTCTCGGGTACACCAGCTGGACATGTGCAGCAGCAGCCTTCCACCATCACGACCAAAGTGGCGGGCTGGACTTTCACGCTCACGGTTAGGCCACCGAGTTGAGCCACAAGACACCAGGTCTTATGGTGGCCAGGCACGAGCTTTCTGCAGAGATAGCACCACAGGTGCAAAGGACAGCTGTCAGTTCTCTGCCGTCTCTTCCTGTATGCAGACCTGCCGTTTTGAGCCCAACAGCCTCTCGAGTTGGATCCACAAAAGACGTGCTGTCTTTGTCAGCGTGCTAGTACTGACACCTCCTTGGAGCCAACTGTCACTGCTAGCTTGGACTATCCTCCATGCTGACTGTACTGCCCAGGCCGTCCTCATGGCAGACCTCGATGACCTCGCGAAGGCTCCAGGTCAGCGGCGCCCTCCATCTGCACTTGGAGCACCCATGCCTAACGATGCTCGCCACAGGTATCAGGTCCCTCGAGACGCCCACTTCGGTGTCCTTCCTGCCCATCACGGGGCTTGGATCCCAGTCTTGCTGCTGCAACCCGTGATCAGCCAACATGAGACTCTGCCGTGCTCTTGTATGCATCTTGCAGTCTCACCATGTGGATACCGCGTGTGCCTGCAGCTCTCCACAACCCAAGCCTCATTGAAGACTCTGGAAGAGTATGTGGTACCCCAGCAGCCTGCCACAACTTCTGCCCGCTTTGCATCCCTTAGGGCTGGGAGACCTCTTGCAGAATATTCGCAGGTATCTACTCCACAACTTCCCAAGTCAAAGGACTACTCTGTGTTAGCGTGCCCTACCTGTGCCCTTCGAGGGATCATGGAGCCACACTGGCAGGCAGCACTCGTCCCGCTTACAGTGGGGACCGAAGTAGAGGTGATCGACGGTCACAGACGTCACCTTGTCGGCCGCCGAGCGATTGTGCTCCCTACCTTGGAGTGTGATCGCAACACCACACGGAACGTGCGGTTGATACAAGGCTCTCGCGATGAACAACGTCGTATTTTTACAATCGACAAGGAGCACCTCGCTCCCCGACTGGGGTTGGAAGCCACACAAGCTTCCATGTGTGATGGAATGGAGCCGAGTTTGAGGTGGAGATGTGCTCCCCCACCATTAACCATCTACAGCGCACGTTACCTTCTTGGCTACCAGGCCCTGGAGACCATGGTGCCTCCGGCGGCACCCAAACGGAGCCCAGCTGGCCACTATATCCATCCCCCGTGGAAGATGCTTCGCTTGAGGCACCCTGGGAAAAACACGTTGACCCAGCTAGCGATCGGTCCTTCTACTTCCACCCGGGGACAAAGCAGGTGACTTGGCGCAAACCACGGCCTGCCCTGGTCCTTCCGAAGGAAGAGGAGAGTGGGCCCACCAAGCCCAGGCGAGGCCGGACTGCGATACCACAGCCTCGCACTCCTAGTCCGCCTCCTCCCAAGAGGGTGAGAACGCATCCCACCATTGATGCTCGGCAGAGAACTACGAGCTCTGAGGCCCAGCCGTCAGCTTCTGCTGCAGCCACAGGGGCGCCAACTACAGAGAGGAAGCCTGCTCCAGCCTTTGATCCTCAATCCTCTGGTGGCCCTTCTGAGTGGAACCTGGCAGATCATGCTTTACCTGCCACTCCAGATCGGGTACTGATCTGGGGAGCCAAAGCCAGGTCACAGCTACCACAACCGCCGAGTGCCCCTGCCTGTACTCTGGACGTGGAAGGATTTCTGCAGAGCTTCTTCAGGACACGGCCAGGCCCAGATGGCACATCCCTTGCCTCCTTACTTGGTGACCCAGTCCCGCAACCTGATGGTTGGTGGCGAATCCCGTGGACACCGCTGGAACCTTCGCACTGCGAGCTGCTGTGTCAGGATGGTTGGCTACGGGGCTGGCACGGATGCAAGATGGAGGCACTATACTCCATTATCTACCATGGCCAGCTTCTTCCGAGCACCGATGAGTCGAAGGGTGACAGGTTCCTGGCAGGCTGTCCAGGGGTGTATTTGCACCGAGACAGCCTGCAACACAAGGTGGAGAACTACATGAGATGGATACCACTATGTGGGGATGGTCTCTTTTGGGCTGCCAAGTGGGAGGTGGTGTATGCTCCCTCGGGGAGCAATAAGCATGGCAAGCGCACTGATCAGGTTATACAAAGTGCTGAGTCGGTGGAGCTGGTGGCCCTCTGGCTCTCAGTGCGCTCCGAGAACATGCTGCCCGATGGAACTGCTGTGCAGGCCAAATGGACTCCAGCACGCGAGGCCAACCCATGCCTCACTGAGCACAAGCTGAGAAGCAGTGCTCTGTTACAGACTGTGGATTTTACGGCACTGCCTGCCTCTTCCAGGCCTTTGCCCAGCTCCAGTTCGAGGTCTGACCCGGCGATCGACGACAAAGGCCGACTCAAGCCGACGCCTAAAGCACGCGGTCGCTTGTCACACATCCCTTCTGAACTGGAGAAGGACCGGACGCCAGCACAAGCGAAGCTCACCATACAGTCGGGCGATCTGGTGCTTAAGTCGGCCACGGCAAATAGCTCGGAGACTCCCACTGCTTCGACCACGGTCTCGGCTGCTACCTCGGCCCTCCCGTCAGACTTACCTCAACGAGGACCCAAACGGGCTCGATCTGACGCCTCCTCTCCGAAACCACGGAAGATGCAGACAAGGCCCAAGCCGAGACGATCGATTTGGTTTGATGTCACGGACAACCCGGCTGACCAACCACTTTCGACCTCCTCAACTGCAGCCAAAGGCCGTGGCACTGGGACGATCAAGGCCGCCAAGCTCCAAGAACGTGTCCGTAGAAGGATGGCCAGGAAGATGGAGGAAATCTTCCAGGCCAATAGAGCCGCTGGACTTCACACGGACTCAGCTGCCTCATCCAGTGCTGCATACAAGGATCCAGCCTACTGTTCATCATGTCCACGTCTGCATCGGCTTAGCCCGTCTTGCAAGCGGCAACACATGCCCCCCTCAAATCGACCTGCCATGTTTCTTGTCTTCGCTCTTCTCAGGTCTAGCCTACTGGTGGCTCCGCCAGACCAAGCTGACACAGGCGGGGATCGATTCACTGAGCACCCGGAGCTGCAGACCTCTGCACCTAGGTTCGGGCAGCCACCTCGGTGGGTTCCCTGCTCACACACCTTTGTTGCTCCCTCCAACAGCCACTGCCTGCAACATTTGTGGCTATCAGGCTTGTATCTTCCGACATGTCGGATGCCCGACGGCACGCCCGGATCCTTGCAGGTCCCTTCGTTCATCTACTGGGGCTTTGAAAGGCACCTAAGCTCTTTTCCATGTGCTTCTCCAGGTCTTGAACGCCCAGTGTGCACATCCACGACAATGCCAGTCGGGCTCACATGGACCTACGGTGCTTCCCCACACCGTGATGATTATCGATGCACCGTGCCTCGAGGTATGTCAGCTGCACTGGCAACAGGCCCCACTTTGCTGCATGCTTATTGTACTCGTGATGTTTGCTCAAGACATCACACCTGGCAGGGGTGGCCCGATGCTTTCCTGACTGATCGACCTGAGCACTGTCTGGTGTGCCTTCGACACACCAGACCATCTGCTGCTGGTCCTGCTTCGGTACGATGCCCACCTCCACCACCAGGAGCTGGTCTGCAACCCGACGGGCTCTCAGATTTTGAGACTGCCACTATCAAGCGGCTGCTAGCTCCATCTCGCGGTGCCCTTAGCTTGCCTTCAGGTCTGTCTTCGCCACTGGGCGCAGGCCAGTGGGTCGAGCAGGCCTCACTTCGGGACACCCACCTGTCCAATTTGTGCAGGATATCCCGGGCACGTGGCTGGCCTATCGTCTGGCGGACCCATGCTGTGAGTGGTGTCGGCTTGAATACCGTAGATGCACCCCCTATGCCACCCGTATGCAACAAACCAGCACCTCGCAGGCTAACAAGATCAGATCCCGCGAGTCTGTTTCCGCCGAGCAGTTGCAACCCAAAGTCTCCCCCCCGGCACTGGACCTGCACACTATGGATTAGCTGCGTAGACAGTCTGCTGCACTGCACTCTGAAGTCGATGCCAGCATTTTTGACAACATGGACAACCAGCACTCTCGAGTGCCCCTCTCATAATCTCAACATACCTGCCTTGAGCCACTCCGGTCCCAATTCCGGAGACCGACATTTTCGTACGGCTGACAACCTGTCATCTCTCAGAAACCAGCTGGTTGTCCATCTAGCCTCCGAACAGTCGGTAGGGGCGAGGGTTGTGAGCGGCTGCCACCCGCTCACGAGACCGAAACTCACCTTCGTGGTGAGGGACGGGAAGCCGTGGCAGGAGCCCAATGAACTACACTCTGCTGTGAGGGCAGTCTTGCGAGACCCCCCACAAAACCACACTATTCGCTCTGATCTAGGAGTCACTCTAGGTACTGCCTGTCCCCTAGCCTGACCTCCTCTCCGTTCTCAGTCATCTGTTCATCGTGGGCTGGTCAGAGCGACCAGACTGCAGGCCCCTGTGGCGTGCCAAATAGCATGGACAAGCTGCTGCCAGGATATGCTCCACCGCAGTCAAAGCCCCGGTATTTCTTCTTCTACAAACAGGGTCTCCCTGTTCGTCTTGTTGCCATCTGGGCTCCAGCACTTCTACATCTTACCCCTCCCGGCCTTCCTCGTTCTAGGAGGCCTCCCCCTGGAGTCCAAACACCAACACCTGCCACTCGACCTATCCACACTGCCGACAGGTATTGCCCTCCGTCAACTCCGAATCGATCCAGTCAGACCCCGGGCACGACGACGTACCCCAGGCTATGCCCTCGCCCTATCCTGTTCCTCTCGACTCTGCTTGCCCTCCCAAGGTCGATCTGGGGAGTGCCATCTGCACACCCCCTGCA